AACTGTGGTGCCATGGGAAGAGTGCTAGGTTTGGGATCAGAAGACCTGAGTTCAAATCCTGGTTCTGCGTGGTGAGGCTCTCCTGTCTCGGCCTTAGTTTTTAATTTGTAAAAAGAAGAGGTTGGATTGGATTAACTTTAATTTTTTTTTCTTTTAGCTCTAAATGAACCTATGAACCTATAAGCCTATCCAAAAGTGAATGGGTTGCCTTAGAGTGTAGTGGGTTTCCACTCATTGGTGTTCTTTCAGCAATGGCTGGAAGGTATATTGTATACTATATTCTTGTTCAGGTATGAATTAGATTAGATGACCTCTGAAATACCCTCCAGCTCTGAGATTCTATTATTTGGTGTGATTCTGTGAAATGATGGAATTAAGTTATCATGTCTGCTGAAGTCTCCTCTCTCTCACCCTGATTTTCTTCACCTGATCTTTTTTTTTTCTTTTTGGTGAGGCAATCAGGATTGAGTGACTTGCCCAGAGTCACACAGCTAGTAAGTGTCAAGTGTCTGAGGCTAGATTTGACCTCAGGTGTTCCTGCCTCCAAGACTGGACTCCAAGGCTGTGCCACCTAGCTGCCCCAAATCTTATAAAATATTCCTTTATCACTCTGGCAACCTTCTTCTGGATGTACTCCAGTTTGTCAATGTCTTTCTCAAAACGTGGTTCTCAGAACTGGGTACGGTATTTCTGGTTTGATTTTTTCATGTAAAATAAATATATTTATTTTATGATTTACAAAGCTGCTTCTTCACAACAATCCTGTGTTGTTGATCTTATAAATGTACCCATTTTCCAGATGAGGAAACTGAGACACAAAGAGGTTAAGTGACTTGCTCAGGTTACAGAGCTAGTAGCAACAGACCAAGGATTCAAACTTAGGTCTTTAGACTCTAAGGTTAGTGCCCTTTTTGCTGTCTCAGGTTTCTTTTCAGATATATTCAAGTGCCTCATGAGCACAGACTATGTTTTTATTTCTTTTTATCCCCAATGCTTGGCAACATGTCTGAACACAACAGACATTAAAAAATTGTTCACTGGTGATACATTTAGCTTTTCCTATTCCCCTTAGCTTCCAGTGCCCTGTCTCCCAAATAACCTTGTTTTTATGTTGTATATACTTATACATACATACATACATACATACATACATACATACATACACATATGTGTGTGTGTGTGTGTGTGTGTGTGTGTGTGTGTGTGGAGAGAGAGAGGAAGAGAGAGAGACACACAGAGACAGAGACAGAGAGACAGAGAGAGACAGAGACAGAGAAACAGAGGAGAGAGACAGCCAGCCAGATCTGTTAGCTCCTTGATATTAAGGACCATTTTCGTTTTTGTCTTTGTTTCTCAGAATCTTGATCTAGCACGGTGCTCTGCACACAGCAGAGACTTAAAACATATTTGTTGTATTTGTTATTTATGCCTTTGACATTCTATACAGCACGTAGCACAATGTTGTACACATTCATTTGTTATTCAGTCATTTCAGTTATGTGCAACTCCTCATGATCTCATTTGGGGTTTTCTTGGCAACGATACTGGAGTGGTTTGCCATTTCCTGCTCATTTTACAGATGAGTAAACTGAGCCAAACAGGATTAAATGACTTGCCCAGGGTCGCACAGCCAGTAAGTATCTGAGGCCAGATTTGAACTTAGGTTCCCCTGACTACAGGGTTGGCTCTCTATCCATTGTGCCACAAGCTGAACATTTTATACATACATATAACATTCAATAAATTGCTGATTAGTTAATAGGGTAATGGAAGGGGCTTTGGGTCTAGAATTAGAGGAAATGGGTTGAATCCTGGCTTTCTCACTTGGTTGAATGGAAAGAGCTCTGAGCCTGGAGTCAGCAAGCCCTGAGTTCAAATTTGGCTTCAGATGCTTACTTGTATGATCCTAGGCAAGTCACTTAGCCTCTCTTTGTTCCAGTTTCTTCATCTGTAAAATGGGGATAATAGCACCTACCTCCCAGGGTTGTTGTCAGAATAAAATGAAAGCACTTTGTAAACCACTTGGTGCAATGCCTAGCCCCTAGTAAGCACTTAATAAAAACTTGTTCCCTTCCCCCAACTTTACTTTTCCTTATTACACGATTATGTTATATTATAATCCTTATTACATTATTATGACCTTTGATAATTCTTTAAACTCATTTGGCCTCAGTTTCCTAGTTTATAAAATGAAATAGTTAGACTTGATGAGCTATAACATCCCCTCTAATTCTAAATTCTATGCTTCTGTGATGATTTGAAAGGTAGGAGGGAAGGATGGGCATTATCAATGGTGACCTGGTGTTGATGGAACTTGTGTCTTGGTCTTAACAGTCTGCCGTAGACAAGTTACCCAAAGTTTTGTGTGTGGGCCAAGCCTATACCAAACTTCAAAATTTACATAAGTGTGCACTGGCAAGAAGTTTTGGAATGTCGGATTGGCGTGAATTGGAATGTTCTGGTGATCGTTTCTCTGGGGATTGGTAGATCTTTGGTTTCAAATAAATGGATGTTTCCTATCACAGAGAAGTGATAGAAGTCTCTTACAGTAGAACCCCAGATTTATAGCAGGTTTTATCTGGAAGCTGAAAAAGCATATCAGACCTATTAGTGATCTGAGAGGCCCTCTGTGTGTGTGTGTGTGTGTGTGTGTGTGTGTGTGTGTGTGTGTGTGTGTGTGTGTGTGATGAGGGAGGTGCTTTAAATGAGTAGACTGAGTTCTACTTCACTTTTCCTCTCTTAGATTAATCACTACCTGGCAGCTCACAAATGGCATTGCTGCCAAACTGGTGAGATGTCAGCCTTACTGTGCTGCCCATTGGCCTGTCAGGATAGACCTGCCACTAGACAGGACCACTGTGGAGACCAGTGATTATCTTCACCTTTCCTGAGATGAAGCCTGACAAAAGACCCCCAAATTTAATCTAGAGGTAGAGAGAAGATGCTTGACTAGGGAAATATTTTGGAGCAGGGTTGATTAATGAACTTTCTTACACGACATCATGAAATGTTACAAAAGAAGCTATGTTTCAATATTGTTTTAAGGACGACTTTGAGAAAATAAGTTATTCTGTCTATTGTAAATACCCAAATTGACTATAAAGGACATATGAAGAAAGATGCTATCTGCATCCAGAGAAAGAACTGATAAATAGAAATATGTATAAAATAATTTTACATCTAGGGTGGGGGGGAGGGAAGAAAAAATTTACATGATAATTTTGTATATTTGAAAGGAATAGCAAATTCATGCATAGTAGATTTGTGGTTTCACGTACAATTATCTTTTTAAATTATGCTGTTATGAAAATGCTTGTTTTATTCCATAAATTAAAAATAAAATTAATTTACATTAAAAAACTCCAAAAGAATCTATTTTTCAGAGAAAAGATCATTCTCTGTGATAGGAAGCATCCATTTATTTGAAACCAAAGATCTACCAATCCCCAGAGAAACGATCACCAGAACATTCCAATTCACACCAATCCAACATTCCAAAACTTCTTGCCAGTGCACACTTATGTAAATTTTGAAGTTTTGTATAGGCTTGGCCCACACACAAATCTATTTTTCAGAGAAAAGATCATTACTTTTGTTATTTGGATGAAATGATTCCTGACTCTGTTTAAAATTTTGCTCCCATTACTCCCAGAATGTTGCTGTACTTCAAAAATTTTTTCAATGGAAAATAATTTTTTACTTTAGTGACAAAAATAAATATATCATAGATTTTTTTTTCTTAAAATTTTGACAAAGCCACACACTAATGTGGTACTGAAATTCTAACAAGGTTGAAAATTGTTGGTTTGATAGTTCTTAAGCTGTCCTAAAGGAAAACCTAGGGCTCAAAGATCAGTCTTGAGATAGCATTGATTAGTACAACCACCACCACCATCACCATCACCACTATCACCACTACTGTCATACTGAGTAGAGGACTAGGTCCTAAAGCCAGAAAGCCCTCAGTTCAAGTCTCACTTCTTATATTCTGGTCAAGAATCTTAACCTTTTTATGCTCTAGGAAATTCTAAGATTAGAATCTGCAAATATGATATTGTCTTTAATTGGAAGAGGGAGTTTCCTCTTCTAGGAGTTCCTTATACCAGTGAAATTATAAGTCTGGTCCCTATCCCCTAACCTTGCTACTATCACCTTATATTTTATTGCTGCTCCAAACTTTTCACTTAATACCTTCCATTTCATTTGAATTCTGAAGTGTGATTATGTAAGCCTTAAATTTGTGTCTGCTCTATGGCTTTCAAATCCTGCCCCAACACTGCATGAAGAGCTGAACTTTTAGGTGGGCATAACAAATGATACAAAAGGGTAATGTAACCCTAGGTAGAGAAACGTTCAAGAAGGCCTCTTCTATAATGGCATCACTGAATATAAAAGTTAATGTGCATAAATCAGGTGGTCATATGTACTTCTCTCACTTAGTCTATAACTAGTTGCTGGTTATTTAAGTGCTAGAATAGGGTGGAAACCTGGAGTCTGAATAATTGAAATCCTTCTATTTTCCATAAATAATGTCCAATAAGTAGACACAGGGAATGGTCTGAGTTTCAGCTTTATGACTTTTCAGCTTCAGATGAGTTGATTTCCATTGCTGGCCATTTCCATTGCAAGCTGGGAAAGGACCTACAGGCAGGCAGCTGGAGTTCTTGTGTTGAATTAGGGGCATAACTAATAGTCTGATCATTTGCTCTGCTAGGCATAGCATATATTTTAAAAAATATATATAGGTATTTCTGAATGTTCTGAAGCAAACAGTTTCAGAAAATGTTTATGTAAGAGCATACAAATATAAGAATGATCATATTGGGTCACATTCATAATTTGTGCAGCCTAGTCGCTAATCTATGCCAGTGGCAGCAAGGTATGGAATATGGAACATCTGTGACATCTTCGCCTAGAGCTTAAGGAGTCCTCACCTTCCCCAAGAGTAGTTTCAGCTAAGACCAATGGACTGATAGGGTCATTTTCTTTCATTTTCCCAGGTAAGCAGGACCACTTGCTGCCTACTGGCTCCTTTCAGAAGAAGAGGTTGGCAAGAAGGCCTGGCTATATGAGGACAGACACCAGGCCCCGGATAGAGTGCCTTTCTGCAGCAGCTCACTCACCCTTCAACCTGAAGGAGCTGGGCCAAAGCCAGGACAGAATGGCTGAGCTGAAGACCTGCACCATGGCCAGACCGGGAGACTCTGCTTTGAGAAGACAGGGTTTCAGCTCTTTAGTTGTGAATCCCATCCTCAAGGGCAGCAGGGTCATAGGACACAGTGTACCAGGAAATTTCTGGTCTCAGCCAGGATCAAGTACCGAACTGACCGACAATGTAACTGATCTTATTTGTCCCTCTGCTTCTGTTTGTTTGGGAAATTTTCCACCCCCCTGTACGTTTGAGGCCTCCCTGGACGTGGTGCAGAAGGAAGCAAACAACTCCTGTGACCAAGTAGGCCGCCAGCAGTCCCCTACAGCCCCGCCTAGTCGTCACGATGTCTTTCACTCAAGCTTTAGTTTCATACGGCTCTCTCTGCGATCTGCTGGGGAGCGAGGAGAAGCTGAAGGTTGCCTCCCCACAAAGGAGGTAGAGCCCCCTTGTCAAAGTCCCACAGAGGTACGAACAGAAAATACCAACGTGAATGAATCTATCAAGAGGCAGAGCAGCTCAGCAGCCTGTGAGGACCTGAGGCTCACTTGTCAGCCTTGCGACTGCAGGACTGCCCAAGGCCCTATGGGCACACTCCTGGCCGGCAGTACCCAGCCTGAGAAGGAGGTTTTCTCTTTCACGAATACTGATGCAGCCATCTCCTGTTCTCCGGGTTCCTCCTCCGTGGGCTCTTCAGTTACCTCAGGCTACGAGAGCAGCATCATGGCAGGTGATCACACTTGGGACACCCTGGTCAAGAAATATGAGCCGGTGCTGATGGACTGCCTTCTGAGTAACCGGGCCTTGCTGAAGGTTGGTGTTTCCTTGGCTTGAGTCTGTGGAAGAGGCGAGGGTGGGGGTGGGGACAGGTTCCTCAGTGGTTAGACCAAAGTACAGATTAACCTACTGGGAAAAAAGCAGGAAATGATTGGGTGATGTGGCTACATGATTCCCCTTGGAGAGGCTTCAGCAGCTCCACTTCTGGCTGATTATAAGGGAGAGGAATGACTGCTTTTCTCTTTATCTCCCCTCGACTCCAGTCTTCTTTCTTTCTTTCTTTCTTTCTTTCTTTCTTTCTTTCTTTCTTTCTTTCTTTCTTTCTTTCTTTCTTTCTTTCTTTCTTTCTTTCTTTCTTTCTTTCTTCCTTCCTTCCTTCCTTCCTTCCTTCCTTCCTTCCTTCCTTCCTTCCTTCCTTCCTTCCTTTCTATCTTTCTTTCTTTTTTTTTTTTTTTGGTAAGGCATTGAGGTTGAGTGACTTGCCCAGGGTCATACAGCTAGTGTCAAGTGTCTGAGGCTGGATTTGAGCTTAGGTCCTCCTGACTCTCCCCTCTCCTCTTAAAATAAAACAGCTCTTTCCTCATCCTCAACTGCTTAGATTATACTAGTAATTGAGCTCTTGTCTATTCTTCCTTTCCTGCTCTAGTGCAGGGTGTTCTAGGTCCAGCTCATTTTGGAAAATGGGGGGGAGAGGAGGCAGGGTTGAGTACTAGAATGAGATGAGCCTACTTGATAATACAGATGTCCCAACAGTCTTAGTGCTGTTTTAAGCTTTAATAGCTTAGAAGCATTCCAAGCTATTAAATAATAATTGGAAGGAGATTTAACCTTAGATCTATCAGATTACTAAAGTATTATATAGGGTGTCCCAAAAGTCTTTACGCCATTTTAATCTCCCAATTATTACTGGGACTTTGGGGGACATCCTGTATAATGCTTTAGTAATCTGATAGCTCTAAGGTTAAATTGAGATCAGTACACCCTCCAATGGTACAGATCAAAATCTCTACACTGTAGTGTGTCATAGATTTAAAGAAGGAAGGTTTAAAGATAATATCTGTTCCTACTGCAATACTCTGTCCCAGCCTAGGGCAGAAGAGCTCAGACCCAGTAAGGGCACTTGTCATGCCCTGGCACAGGGGGTTGGTGGTTGATTCTGGCAGAGTGGGCACTGGGCCCTAGCAGTGCTGGCAACAGCACAGATGAGAATTTCAGAAGAGTTAGCCAGGGGATCCAAGGGTGCAGATACAAGGCCTCAGAGGCTGAGGCTACCGTGGCAAAAGGCAGGTCCATGGTAGCCTGTTGCTTACTGTAATGTAAAACTGATTGGTCCTTTCATATTGCTCTGAACAACACTTAGCGATCATTTTATGGTGGCATCATTGGGATGGGGTTTGCTTTCAGGCAATAAGAGATAATTGAAAGTGTCTAACCAGCTCCTACCAAACAAGAAGGGGGCATTTCCTCAGAGTCCTCTCTTGGGGTGAAGATTTTGTGTTACCTCTTCCCTTACCATGGTATTCCCAGGGAGGAGGAGGTCTATGATGAAGATCAGTGATTTTGAAGGAAGTGTTATCACCTTTGCTATTTCTACTTCTGTTTCTGGTCATCTTTTTACATTGAGAGACCCACTATGAACTGCAAAAATTTGGTATTACCCACTACATAGACCTGATCATTTAGACCTGAGATTCAGTCCTTCTTGATACTTTTCCAGATTCAGTCATTCCTTCAGGGAATTGTTACATGTTTTTTTTTTTTACCCTTTCTCCTTTAGTGATGCTTTTATCAGGCTTCTTTAATACTGGAAGTCTAGGTTGACCAGTAATGGCTCTAAAGCAATTTAAGTTAATGGAAGGTCCTCTAGACAAAGGTGTCAGACTTGAGGCCTGCCAACAGCTTGTGCTTTCTGAAACAGATTAAAATGTAATTGGGAAATGTTTAGGAAAATACATAAAAATATAGATAGTTTACTTATAGTTTAGAAGCCTTTATCACCAAGGACTAGAAAGTGGTAGAAGCAATATCCTAATCCCTCCCCCCATGCAAGTCAGGCAAGTTTTTTCCTCAAAAGGAGGTCATTTTGGAGACTTGCTTGGCTCATTGAAGGCACAGGATGTTGACATCACTTCCTTATTGACGGAGTACAAAACACCCACAAAGAGCTACAGGCACCCTTTCTGATACTTTACTGGTAAAAAAATGATGGCAAATCAAGCAATGGAGTATCACTCAAATCAAATCAAGGTAGCCTCAATGACTATTCTTGTTGAATGTCCTTTTACTGTTATGGTCAAATAAATCTCCTTTTCTTAACTGTTGAATGATTTTCAAATTGCTCATTTTGTTCCAGTACCCAACTTAGACTATCAGAAAACTGGCCCGAGTCAGGCCCAGCCAGGAACAACCTGTCTAGAACCTGGAAATACTGGCAGTTTGAGTTCTGGTGATACCATGGATTCAGTTAATATTCTGGTTAGTGTGATGCAACTGCTCCCAAGTGCCAAAGAAATAGACAGATTGAAATTGGGTTTGCAGTCTGGTGTTACAACTGTTGTGATAATGGTAGAGTGGAGAATGGTAGAGTAGATAATATTTCTTCATAGTCTGGTATGATAAGAAGGCAAGCTATAATGGAACTTATCAAAAATGACAATACCCCACCTGTTGGAAATATCTTAGTGCATATGGCCTTGACCATTAAAATAGGCAAGCCATGAATGTGTATGAATGGACTGAAGATATGAATACTTTCATTATACAAATATACTATATATCATAACCAAATTAGAAATAGTTCTTACCAGTTTTAGGGAAGGGTTTCATGCTCCTTTCTATCAATAATATCTTCTGTTCCAAGTCACACAACAAAATACTACTAGCCAGTGAATGGCAATCATAGGGAATAATTAAGCCTTGATTGAATAAAACAAGAGATGAAATTGAAGAGCTATTAAAATCTGAAGAGGGAAAAGTTGAAGAACCCGAGGTCATTGAAAATCTGCACTAACTGCCAAACTCCAGAAAGTCTAGTTAATAATGAAACAGATCAAAACAATACCCATGTCTCAAATGATTTTGAATAGGAGATGTGTTGAAATTTTAAAAGGCCTCTTTGAGTTCAATATAATCAGTCTAGTAGACCAGTTATACTAAGAGTAATTTTATAATTTGTAAAAGAGCATATATAATTATAGATAAGATAGATATGTATGATCTTATGTATAACATTATATCTGATATAGATATAGTATATATAAGCTACTTGTAATAGCTTATATATCAAATCTAAGACATATAGATATAATATATAAGGTATATGTAAGATCTTATATATAATTATAAATAAGAGTAATTTTATTTCTATATTAACATATTTATAATCAATATATTTACATATAAATTATATAAGAGTAATTATTGATCAATGTAGATTATGCAAGGAAATGGTAGAAAATGAGCAAGAATGTAAAAAAAACTTAGCACCTACTGACTAGTTAGCAAGACATAACCAGGTGGCCAGGATTATACATCTGAAGATCATTCCTTTTCTTGAAATGACAGAAGACAAATCCTTATCCCACCAATACCTTGAAATATTCTGGAGAACTTGACCTATGAACTGGACTACCATCATAGAGCAAACTATTGCATGGATAATATTGATCCATAAACACTTAAAAAGAATTTAAATAGATCTTACCAGACTAACTACTTATAATTTCCAAGCTACAGGAAATGACAGCTTATTAAAATATAGAGACCTAGCAGAGGAGATCATCTTACGTAGGAACAGAATGATACACATATCATCCCTATTGTCCTGTGGGTTACTGGAGACACACTGAAGATGCTTTCTTTAACCTTACAAGGCATGAGTTTACATCATAATACTTTTATCAAACTACAGAGACTTCTTTTTTTTCTATTAAACATTAAATAAAAAAATAATACCAAGGTAGAGACTTGTCTCAGGAATGTTTTTATCTGAACCCTATTGGAAAAAAGATGAGATGATCATGATGCTAGTAATTAATTAATGATGATGATGATGATGATGACAATACCTTGTGCCGATGTAACTCCTTAACTTTTTCTAAGGACCTTCACATCTATTTTCTCCACATGGTTTAGTGAAAAAAGTATTGTATTGCATCTGCTAAGAGTGGGAGACTCAGAAGGAGTCACAGGTCCAGTCCCTATTCCTATGTGACAGGCACTGGATATAGAAAGACAAAACCAAAGTATTTCTGCCCTTAAGTATCTTCTGTTGTCTTGGGGAAGACTGCATGTGAACAAAAAAGCATGTGAAAAATTTGCATGCTGTGAGTTGGGGAAAGAGTATTCTAATAGTTAGGATTCATGTAGAAGATGATGCTTGAGCTGAGCTTTGAAGAAAAATGGAGATTCTAGGAAATGGAAGTGATGGAAGGAGTGCATTCCAGGGACAAAGTATAGTTAATGTAAAAATCCCAAGATAGGGTGGGGTATATGGGGTATTCAGGGAGGACTAGCACCTCTGGTATGAGGGCTTGCTGAGCCCCTTTCAGAGCCACTGATCTATTTTTGGTGTTGATTTTTCATCCAACTCTCACTTGTGACTCCAAGAAGCTGTAGCATGTGTGGTGGCCACACCCTGGTAAAACTGTCTTGGCAGATGGGCTTAACCAGGTTGAAGCTAACCGACAGCCTTTAAACCTCATCAGTGAGTTAGGGAGTTGTCTACCCCAAGCATGTGAAGACTTCCCTGGATGGAATGAATGGATGAGAACAATTTGTTCCAGCAGCCATGAAAGCAGCACTATGGAGCATTTAGAGCTTAGACATCACAAAGATTCTGAGGTCATCCAGTGTATTCCAGACCAGTTGTCTTGATTTTTTGTCTTGCCACTGAACTCTGGAAGAGAAAGTGAGGCTGATGACTTTGTGCAACTCTATGTCTCTTAAATCCAGTTCACAAGCATGTTAAGACATAACCTAAGATGTCATTGGTCCTCTTCAAGAAATTGAAGGCAAACCAATATAGGAGATGGAGT